GAACTGTACTTGAATCGCCTCCACCAGATCATCCCCCGCAGCTATCACCTTTTGTATCACCTCCCCCTTCCTTTAGATTGTAAGCTCCATGAGCAGGGCCCTCCTATTCCTTCTGTACTGAAATGTATTGTAATTGTACGGTCTCCCTTATATTGTAAAGCGCTGCGCAAACTGTTGGCGCTATATAAATCCTGTATTATAATAATATTAACATGTAGCTATGACTGACATCACAAACTTTCTGTGCTCCATTTTTTTTTTTTTATAATTGGACACACCTAGAATGAGGTAATTTAAACATTTAAATCCAGATGTTATACTAATGGTTTCATTGTTTATATGGTATTTATTTGCTCAGTTCTTGGATGTAGAGGCAGCCCCATGCATATGTCCCATACATATGCGGACAGACACTGCATCCACCTAGGTGAGTGTGACTGTTTTTTTACATTCCCGAACCTTTTAAGCGGAACACAGACAGTATGTAAAATCTGTGATTACCCTTTACATTCAAATTACCAGATACTTATTTACCACCCAAAGTTAAGTAAGCACTCAATGTGAAAAATTATAAATAAAATTTCATAATTCATATTTAATTAATCCAAACAAAAAAAAGGGCCTTTGAGAGTTCATAAAATGTTTCCTTAAAGGATAAGTTCACCTTTTGCTAAAAAATTATAAATGCACATTTTTTTGCAGGTACAAAAATGTGCATTTATTATTTTTTGTTGCAACAGCAAATAGCACTGCAAGAGGACAGCCGCTAAGGCTGTCGGGACTTGTAGTTTCTCATTCACCGAGGACTGTGAATGAGTGATGCAGCCGGGTGGGCAGAGCCGCCTCTTTAAAAAATTTTGACAGCTAGTGGGAGGAGAATATCCCCACTAGCTGTCACAGCAGGGGCCTGTCTATTCATAACATGTTACATGTTACAGCTTGATTATGAGTGTAACATGCTACATGTTATAAAAGGTGAATTTATCCTTTAATAAAAATAACTTTTCCACACTCAAATTGAAAAAAGTGCAAATCCCCATTCACGTGCCACCACCTTTTGGAAGGCTGTTCACCCTGAACTTTTGACTCCTAAAGATAGAAAGGTCAAAATGTGCTTGGTTTATGTCTGCATCTATATTCTGGGAGTTTGATGTACAGTCAGGTCCATAAATATTGGGACATCGACACAATTCTAACATTTTTGGCTCTATACACCACCACAATGGATTTGAAAATTAAATTAACAAGATGTGCTTTAACTGCAGACTGTCAGCTTTAATTTGAGGGTATTTACATCCAAATCAGGTGAACGGTGTAGGAATTACAACAGTTTGCATATGTGCCTAACACTTGTTAAGAGACCAAAAGTAATGGGACAGCATAATAATCATAAATCAAACTTTCACTTTTTAATACTTGGTTGCAAATCCTTTGCAGTCAATTACAGCCTGAAGTCTGGAAGGCATAGACATCACCAGACACTGGGTTTCATCCCTGGTGATGCTCTGCCAGGCCTCTACTGCAACTGTCTTCAGTTCCTGCTTGTTCTTGGGGCATTTTCCCTTCAGTTTTGTCTTCAGCAAGTGAAATGCATGCTCAGTCGGATTCAGGTCAGGTGATTGACTTGGCCATTGCATACCATTCCACTTCTTTCCCTTAAAAAACTCTTTGGTTGCTTTTGCAGTATGCTTTGGGTCATTGTCCATCTGCACTGTGAAGCGACGTCCAATGAGTTCTGAAGCATTTGGCTGAAAATGAGCAGATAATATTGCCCGAAACACTTCAGAATTCGTCCTGCTGCTTTTGTCAGCAGTCACATCATCAATAAATACAAGAGAACCAGTTCCATTGGCAGCCATACATGCCCACGCCATGACACTACCACCACCATGCTTCACTGATGAGGTGGTATGCTTAGGATCATGAGCAGTTCCTTTCCTTCTCCATACTCTTCTCTTCCCATCACTCTGGTACAAGTTGATCTTGGTTTCCTCTGTCCATAGGATGTTGTTCCAGAACTGTGAAGGCTTTTTTTAGATGTCGTTTGGCAAACTCTAATCTGGCCTTCCTGTTTTTGAGGCTCACCAATGGTTTACATCTTGTGGTGAACCTTCTGTATTCACTCTGGTGAAGTCTTCTCTTGATTGTTGACTTTGACACACATACACCTACCTCCTGGAGAGTGTTCTTGATCTGGCCAACTGTTGTGAAGGGTGTTTTTCTTCACCAGGGAAAGAATTCTTCAGTCATCCACCACAGTTGTTTTCCGTGGTCTTCCGGGTCTTTTGGTGTTGCTGAGCTCACCGATGTGTTCATTCTTTTTAAGTATGTTCCAAACAGTTGTTTTGGCCACGCCTAATGTTTTTACTATCTCTCGGATGGGTTTGTTTTGTTTTTTCAGCCTAATGATGGCTTGCTTCACTGATAGTGAAAGCTCTTTGGATTTCATCTTGAGAGTTGACAGCAACAGATTCCAAATGCAAATAGCACACTTGAAATGAACTCTGGACCTTTTATCTGCTCATTGTAATTGGGATAATGAGGGAATAACACACACCTGGCCATGAAACAGCTGAGAAGCCAATTGTCCCATTACTTTTGGTCCCTTAATAAGTGGAAGGCACATATGCAAACTGTTGTAATTCCTACACCGTTCACCTGATTTGGATGTAAATACCCTCAAATTAAAGCTGACAGTCTGCAGTTAAAGCACATCTTGTTTGTTTCATTTGAAATCCATTGTGGTGGTATATAGAACCAAAAATGTTAGAATTGTGTCGATGTCCCAATATTTATGCACCTGACTGTATATTATTTCAATTTTCACTTCACAAATCAGTGGTATGCTCCACATTTTCATAGTGCATAAGTAACAGCACTCCATATACAGTAATACCTGCTCTGGTCTTGAACAGCAGATCTCTTAATCTTGGCAAACATGCAACAGGCAGTCTCTGCAAAACAAAATGATGCCACTCACATCCTACGCTTTACATTTCATCTTTCAAATTCTTCAGGCGCCTGAACTCCCAGGATAAGGATGTGTATATATTCAAGTGTATTTTGATATTCCTATAATTAGGGGTTAAAAGTACAGAGTTAGCAAGTAGACTTTCTTCCTTCTGAGTGCGGAAGAGTTTTATATTAACCACTTGCCTACCAGGCACTTATACCCCCCCACCAGGCCAATTTTCAGCTTTCAGCGCTGTCACACTTTGATTGACAATTGCGCGTTCATGCAAGATTGTACCCATATGAAATTTTTATCATTTTTTTCTCACAAATAGAGCTTTCTTTTGGTGGTATTTAATTGCCGCTGGGTGATTTACTTTTTGCGCTATAAACAAAAAATTGCAAAAAATTCAAAAAAGAAAAAAAAAATTCTTTGTTTCTATTATAAAATTTTTCAAACAGGTAATTTTTCTCCTTCACTGATGTGCGTTGATGAGTCAGCACTGATGTGCACTAATAGGCAGCACTGATAGGCAGAACTGATGGGCACTGATAGGCGGCACTGATAGGCAGCACTAATGAGGTGGCACGGATAGGCGGCACTGATAGACAGCACTGATAGGTGGCACTGACTGGCATCACTGCTGGGCACTGACTGGCGGCACTGCTAGGCATTGACTGGCACAACTGCTGGGCACTGACTGGCAGCACTGATGGGTACTGGTGGTGGGCACTGGTGGGTGGCACTGGTGGGCACAGGTAGGTGGCACTGCTGGGTGGCACAGGTGGGTGCACTGCTGGGCACAGGTGAGTGGAACTGGTGGGTTGCACTGCTGGGCACCAATCATCAGGGCACTGATCATCAGTGCCCTGATGATCAGTGCCGATCCCTGCTCTGACAACTGCCGGTTCTCGGCAGTACTTTCCTCACGTGCAGCCGAGAACCAGCAATTGCATTTCCCGGTGATCAGCGTGTCATTGGACACGGCTGATCACGTGGTAAAAGGCTGCTGTGATTGGCCTTTTACCACATCACATGATCAGCTGATCACAGCGATCATGGAGATTGCCGAGTGCGAGCCCCCGGGGGCGTGCAGGAGAGCGCGTTCTGGGAGGACATCATATGACGCGCTCCCAGAACTGGCCAGCCACAGTGTAGCCGTCATTCGGCTATCTGCGGTTGGCAAGTAGTGGGCACATAGTATCCTGAACTTTCAATAGCACTTTCTGTTGAATATATATGATTTATGAAATTTTATGTATTTAAAAATTATTATTATACAGGATTTATATAGCGCCAACAGTTTGCTCAGCGCTTTACAATATAACGGGAGACAATACAGCAACAATACAGTTCAATACAAGAGGGATTTGAGGGCCCTGCTCCTTGGAGCTTACAATCTAGGAGATACACAAATTAAATACATAAAAAGGGATTTGCCGAAGGGTCTGTATTTTGTCCATCCAGTTTCAGATAAGTTTAGGTCGTCTTCAGTCACCTAAAGTACATGTATTGCACTACAGGTACAGGGAAGGTGGGGGGGATGGGTGCTTTAAGGAAAACTGCAGTGAGTGAAAAGGAAACCTATAGTGAGGGAAATACAGAGGCTGTCTTTGCTAATGTCTTGTTTCTGGTTTTAAACCAGTTATTGACAGGGAATAAGCATATAGATTAGAAAGCCAGAGTGAAGTCAGAACTTGTTCAAGGGCAGTAACTCAAAGCACTGGAAAGTCATTGGATGAAGATGCCAATTAGGCAGCTAGCATCTTCAGAAAGAGCGTTCAGCAGGACTTTTTTTATATTTTCTTAGTTCAGGTTTCTTTTAAGAAAAAAACAAATATCACCGTTTGCATTTAATATGTATGTCCCTATTTTAAAGGCTGAGAGCACCCAGGGGAAGTTACCAAGGACAGGTACAGGCGCCCTACAGTAACATCAATCGTGTTAGTTTATCTTGCATTTTACCATAACAAGTTAACTTTTGCCATGTCCACTATAGTCAGAAGTTGTTTTACTTAACTTCCATTTTTATGTAGATGTTTCATACCTTTGCAAAAACTGTAGTTTTAAAGAACCACTGCTTCAGATACTTTTGCTCCACCTTTGCTCCAGAGCGCCAAGAACAACCCTGTTCATCCACCTGCTCATTGGCAAGCACTGTCTTATCCATGGGATCCCAGTTCACCAAAGCCTGCAATAAAAAGCACACATCTACTGTCAGAGTATAAACCAATTATTTTGTAATCCTTTAGTCCCTTTACAGAACATAAACAATAAAGAACAAGGCTACAAAAGAACAATATGATCTTAAGAAATGGATGATGTTATCTTAAAAAATGTTTGTAGTTGAACATGAGCTGCTCTATACAGTGGGGATCGAAAGTTTGGGCACCCCAGCTAAAAATGTGTATTAATGTGCATAAAGAAGCCAAGGAAAGATGGAAAAATCTCCAAAAGGCTATAAATTACAGATTAGACATTCTTATAATATGTCAACAAAAGTTAGATTTTATTTCCATCATTTACACTTTCAAAATAACAGAAAACAAAATAATGGTGTCTGCAAAAGTTTGGGCACCCTGCAGAATTTATAGCATGCACTGCCCCCTTTGCAAAGCTGAAACCTGCCAGTGTCATGGATTGTTCTCAATCATCGTCTGGGAAGACCAGATGATGTCAATCTAAAAGGTTTTAAATGCCCAGACTCATCTGACCTTGCCCCAACAATCAGCACCATGGGTTCTTCTAAGTAGTTGTCTAGAAAACTGAAACTGAAAATAGTTGACGCTCACAAAGCTGGAGAAGGCTATAAGAAGATAGCAAAGCGTTTTCACATGTCAATATCCTCTGTTCGGAATGTAATTAAGAAATGGCAGTCATCAGGAACAGTGGAAGTTAAAGCAAGATCTGGAAGACCAAGAAAAATATCAGACAGAACAGCTCGCAGGATTGTGAGAAAAACAATTCAAAACCCACGTTTGACTGCACGATCCCTCCAGAAAGATCTGGCAGACACTGGAGTTGTGGTACACTATTCCACTATAAAGAGATACTTGTACAAATATGGTCTTCATGGAAGAGTCATCAGAAGAAAACCTCTTCTACGTCCTCACCACAAAAATCATCGTTTGAACTTTGCAAATGAACATATAGACAAGCCTGATGCATTTTGGAAACAAGTTCTGTGGACCGATGAGGTTAAAATTGAACTTTTTGGCCGGAATGAGCAAAGGTACATTTGGAGAAGAAGGGGCACAGAATTTAATGAAAAGAACCTCTGTCCAACTGTTAAGCATGGGGTTGGATCAATCATGCTTTGGGGTTGTGTTGCAGCCAGTGGCACAGGGAACATCTCACGAGTAGAAGGAAAAATGGATTCAATAAATTTCAGCAAATTTTGGATGGTAACTTGATGCCATCTGTGAAAAAGCTGAAGTTAAGAGAGGATGGCTTCTACAAATGGATAATGATCCTAAACACACCTCGAAATCCACGGGGGATTACATCAAGAGGCGTAAACTGAAGGTTTTGCCATGGCCTTCACAATCTCCTGACCTCAACATAATTGAAAATCTATGGATAGACTTTAAAAGAGCAGTGCGTGACAGACAGCCCAGAAATCTCAAAGAACTGGAAGACTTTTGTAAGGAAGAATGGGCAAAGATACCTCAAACAAGAATTGAAAGACTCTTGGCTGGCTACAAAAAGTGTTTACAAGCTGTGATACTTGCCAAAGGGGGCAGTACAAGATATTAACTCTGCAGGGTGCCCAAACTTTTGCAGACGCCATTTTTTTGTTTTCTGTTATTTTGAAAGTGTAAATGATGGAAATAAAATCTAACTTTTGTTGACATATTATAAGAATGTCGAATCTGTAATTTGATGCCTTTTGGAGATTTTTCCATCTTTCCTTGGCTTCTTTATGCACATTAATAAAAATTTTTAGCTGGGGTGCCCAAACTTTCGATCCCCACTGTAATACCTGCCGATACAGAACTCAGTGCGGGCGTGTTTAAAAGCTTATTTACTGCTGGTTAAGAATATGTACTCTACATGCTTGAAAGTCAACAGTCTGGCTAAAGATTCACTTTCTAAGACAGTTCTGCAATCCTCTACAAAATAAATTTTCTTTACCTGGAAACACCATTTTAAAATTTGTCACTGTCAAAAGTGCATTTTTCAAATGAAAACAGGAATTTTGAGTTACCTGTAAATTCCATATCTTGGAGTTCAGTACTGGGACACAGGCTTAGTATTCATAGAGCTTGGGTTATAGGCTCAGACCTTCAGGTGATTGGACACTGGCAAAGCTTTTAAGGACATGACCGCTGAGGGCAACATTCCTGTAACGCTGCCCCACTCTGCGAGTCCTCAGTATTGTAGCAAGCAATACAGAGTAATCAAGGAACAGAAGGGGGGTGGCCCGTGTACTGTACTCCAAGATATGCCATTTACAGTCAAAATTCCTCTTACATAAACTGTATAGTATAGGACACAGGCCTAGTGTTCATAGAGCATGGGAATTAGAAGGGTAGGCAATAACTGGTGTGACATGGAGTAGTTCGTGGTAGATGAGTTATTTTAGTGAGTCCACAGCAGACAGGAACTATTTTTAAGGGCTTGGTAGCTTACTTTTATTTAATAGAAAGCAAAAGTTCACAAACGAATGACTTCCCATGCAGGGGATCTTCTCCAACTTCAGCAGAAACACTAGAAAATGCCAAGCCATCTGGCTCATTAGCTCACTCGGCTTCAATTGCTGTATCATGCTGCTCCTCTTACCAGTCTCTCCATGTTGTTCAGCTCTCCTGGATATTTGGCTCTCTAGCCTTTAGTCAGAGCTCCCTGCTGTATGGCCCACATCTGGGCTATGGATTGGGGCTCTCCTGACACCCTCTTAGGAGCTGTCCTGGCTCCTTGAATTGAGACCTCAGCCTCTTGGCTTCTGGCTGGGTGCTCTGACCCCTCAACGAGAACTTCCATCTCTCCCACTGGGAGCGGTCTCCAACTGGGAGTTCTGGACTATTCTCAGAACTGAGTATATAACGATACCTCAAACCTGTGTACTCCAGATTGCAGGTGTCTAGCAAAACCCAGAAACAGGATTAAATGTTCCGATCCAGAGCTGCAGAATCCAGAGAAGTTAAATTCACAGCTTTCTCTGCCCAGAAACACCAGTCTGGAACATCACATTCACCCTAATTGCAAATCCTGTGTCACCTTTTCCTATCTTTTCAGTGACAGAGTCTTGTCCTGTCACACGGGCAGCAGCACTGTGCCAACAGCCCTCCTAAACATAAAGGTTAACCACATCAATACTGGGCACTTTTACCCCCTTTCTGCCCAGGCTAATTTTCAGCTTTCAGCGATGTCGCACTTTGAATGATAATTGCGTGGTCATACAACACTGTACCCATATGAGATTTTTATCATTTTTTTCACACAAATAGAGCTTTCTTTTGGTGGTATTTAATCACCACTGAGGTTTTTATTTTTTACTAAATAAACCAAAAAAAAAAAAACTTTTGAAAAAAAAAAAAACGCACTTTTCTTCGTTTCTGTTATAACATTTTGCAGATAAATGACATTTCTTCATAAATTTAGATCAAAATGTATTCTGCTACATTTCTTGGGTGAAAATAATAAAAATAAAAATAATATAATTTGTATTTTTTTTTTTAATTTTTTCTATTTGTTTTATTTTTTATTACATTATTTTTTCTTTTTTTACTATTTTTTTTTGCAACACACTGTGACCAAAGCAATACAATGTTACCATAGTAACATTGAACTCCTCGGGCAAGTGATCAGGATTTTTTTTTTTTAACACATTATGATTGCAAATACCAATGTATTCCATTGATATTTGCAATCATTTTTACTGAATGAACGGAAGCCATCCGTTGAATACAATTGACATGTGATCTGCTGTGATTGGTCACAGTGGTCACATGACACTGGCAACGGGCCGGTGTAGTGATATGTCATCAGCTGGGTTCCGTGGACACAGCGGTGACAGATCGTGCTGCTGCACAGCCCCGTGAGCAGCTCGTTTTGACAGGACGCCATATTATGCCCAGTCACAATGGCGGTTTTAAACACCCGTTGCCCAATGATTGGGGGACTCCAACAATCAGCAAAGGGGAAATCCGGGAAATCACCGCAAGGCACATCTGCCGCATCTTCAATGAGCCCCAAATTTCCCTAGAATCCTCCTTTTATATACATAATTCGGAATGTCCTTATCTACTGCCATGCGCAGTATCTCCTGGTTATATATAACATCATGTATGATTCTGCAAAGTAGCTAGAGTCAACGCGTGATCGGCTCGTGCCGTCATGCGTAGTTACATATTTTGATAGAATGCACATCTGGTGAATATCAGCCATATCTCTGGTTTTATCCAGTTTAATGTACACTGCCAACTTGTTATTTTGAACTCCAGTTACCCATCTAATGGTTATAATCGTTAGCATTATGATAGTTGAGTGTCAATCACTTCTCATTTATAAATCCTATACACTCATGTCACATATGTATCACATAATGCACATAAGGGGCAGTGCGCCTAGGAGCAGCAGCGATTTGGCAGAAAAACCGCTGACAGCTCCTAAACGCTCTTAAAATTTGCTAATCACTGGGCGCCAGATGGTTGTTACAAAAAAAGCTGGGTTTTTTTTTTTTCACTGGTTGTTAAGGAGAGGGCGGGAAGACAGCCATCATGTCCTTAACAACGTATGAGTCATCAGCTGTCAGCGAGGTTCCGCACTGACAGCTGAATATTAAAAAAAAATTTGCCAGAAATAAAAAAAAAAAAAAGTGAAAGATATCACCATGGGGGAACCCCACGTCAAAATAATAATTAAAAAAAAAAAGTATGGATTTCGGGGGGGGAGCCCCACTCCGTATTTTTTTTTTTTGTCTAATCATTTTGGCGTGGGATTCCCCTTAAAATCCATACCAGACCCAAAAGGCCTGGGTATAGATTGGGAGGGGGACCCCCATGCTGTTTAAACCACATTTTTTTATATTCAGCTGTCAGTGGGGAACCTCACTGACAGCTGATAACTTATCCGCTCTTTAAGGACAATGTGGCTGGCTTCCTGGCCCTCTCCTTAATGCTGAAGCTACTAAATGTAGCTTACACACTAGGTTAAACACTGCTAAACACTGGCAAAAAATGTAAAACA